AAGTTTGAGCTACTTAGTTTTCTCTATATTTTAATATCTCCTAGTATTCCATGAAACGCAAGTGTGTCTAGGAAGTAGCAATTTTTATATAAGACGTGCTTTAATAAGATAAAGAAATGTGCAAGAAAAGGGCAGCCATTAAAGAGGAAGTGCTCATAATGTACTGTAATCTCAAGAGTATACGTATCCACCCTATATTTGCCTGTCTAGTACTCTTTGTCTTGAGATGTATCATCCTTTGAACAATCCCTGAGATATTTCACGAGTTGCTATTAAACCAGCAACATTCTATTACTCTGTTGCTTGTATCTATAAAAGTAAGTCAGAGTCTCACTGTGTATAGGAACAAAACTGATATGGCAGGCGTCTAGTATTAATGATTAAATTATTCTTGAAAGTTCTCCACTGATATCCGCAGAATACGTGTCTATAACGAGTATGTGCACTCGGGAGTAGATGCTAATTTCAGTTTATTATAGGAATGTAAGACAATGGCTCTAAACATTAGGATATATAAAATAGAGTTATATTCTGTGCCTCAGTGAGGGTAATGTGATGTTATGTAAAGAGTAACATCTCAGGGAGGAAATGAATGCCAGTGACCGTATTCATATCTGAGTAATACACGCAGGTTCAAGCTACAGATAAAAATAGCGAATTCAGACATGATTATGCTTAGCAGGAAAATAACACACAAGTAGATAGGCTCACGCAATATAATGAACTGTATAGATCCTCAGATATTAGAAGAGGAAGAAGGATATAACCTCTTGGAAGGAGAAACGAAATATATGAATCACCATATAAATGACATAAACCTTTGGATGCCTGTGAACATACCCAGAACGAGAATGGTGAAGACTAGTGTTACTCCTTGTAATCCTGAAACGAAGGAGGGAATGAGAAAGCACAGATACTCCTGAACATGATTATACAGAAGGCAAGGACAGAAAAAAGGAGCTGAGAAAATTCACCAATACTGAGAGTACGAAGAAAGAGACAATATTA